TAAACGGCAACGGGATGTGTGGATCACCGCAGTGAGCCGCGCATGCCTGGCTGCCACAAGCCAACACATTTTAAATCCCAGTGGACGTGTTCTAAATGAAATGCCCACACTGTAGCTGTGCTGGCCACACGACATTGCATTGGTTCTTGAGGATCCCGCTGCGATGGATATTTCAGCGATCTGGCAGCAGTGAGAGCCCTGCCCGGGCTGGTGTTAAGCGACCGAGTGTGTTGCGTGCCCACGTTCTCTTAATCCAATGTTGGATGAGGAGCCTCCCCGGTCCTCTTGAGTTTGTGCTGGAAAAACGAGCAAAATAATATTAATAGTAGTGACCTCTTAGTTACTCATTTATATTTGGATTTTTTTCCCAGCAGGGAAGTTTGACTACATTTAATTGGAAGTACATACTTATTCTTTTAAGTACATACTTAGTTTCCTCTTTATCTCAATACAATTACCATTGTAAAAAAAAAAAAATGCATTGTTACCGAGCATTATTTTCGTGAAGTTAAAGAATGAAGAAAGCCTTCGTTTATTTCCCGACAGAAATATAATAAGTTCATATTGATCGTCTTTACGAGCATTGTCATGCTGCCACAAAGACAAGACAGAGATCCCCCGTGTAGCCTTAACAGACTGTTGGGGAAAGCGAGCACCTATGAAGGCTGGCACGGCACACGAGGAGGTGGGTGGCCAGCACCACGCCGGCCGCCTTTGTCTCCCTAGTCGTAATGTTTACACACCGCACCAGGTACTCATTTGAGGCTGAGTCGACCTAGGGGAGGCCCGGGACCGGTTCAGATAATCGTCACTGGTGTTGGCCGTGAGCGGGAATCGAACCCGGGTCGCCAGGTTCGTAGCGTAGCGCACTAACCGCTACACTACCGCTCCCCACTACATGCACACAGACACACACTCAGACACACACTCAGACACACACTCAGACACACACTCAGACACACACACAGACACACACACGCAGAGACACACAGAGACACACACACAGACACACACACAGACACACACACAGAGACACAGACACACAGGCACAACAACAACCGCCATTTGCCACTAAGTGGCGGTGACGTCACCACGACGCTTGTGCCAGGCTATGTGCACCCTGAGGCCACGTGAAGTGTCGAACGCCCGCTGGCAGGAGGTCACGGGGCAGACCCAGGTGCCACGGGTCGACTGACTGAGATGACTGGCTGATGCACCACCTGTGCCCCCTACTGTGCCAACCTGCTATGCTTTAGCCACCCGGCGCTCCGCTCGTTGTTGTGAGCGTCGCTCCTCCGCCCTCCGTTGTTGTTGGAGGGCGACTACCTCCAACTGCCCAGTAGCGTCCTTCACGAGCCTCCTCCACAGAGGCCGATCTTGACACCGCTGGTACCAGTCATCGGCAAGTCCACTCAGCTCCACGTCCTCCTGTACCACATCACTCCATCTCTTCTCTAGCCCGTGCCGCGCCCGCCTAGCCCCCTCAATCCGGCCGAACAAAAGCTGTTTCGGCATGCAGTGGCTGGGCATGCGGGCTACATGACCCAGCCATCGCAGCCTTCCCCGCCGGAGGAGCTCACCGATAGGACCTTGCCCAGATCTTTCAAGGATTTGTGAGCTCCTCACACAATCCATCCTGGTTAAACCCAGGATGAATCGTAGGCAGGCCAGCCTAAATGTTTCTAACACACACACAGACACACACACACAGATACACAGAGACACACAGACACACACATAGACACACACACAGACACACAGAGAGACACACACAGACACACAAAGATAAAGACAAAGATCCCCCATATAGACTTAACAGACTGTAGGGGCAAGTGCTGTTAGCGAGCACCTATGAAGGCCTACAGAGACACACAGACACACACACACACACAGACACACACACAGAGACACACACACAGACACACACACAGACACCCACACAGAGACGACCTGGTCAGTGCATTAACACTGTCAGCCTTCGATGGAGAGTGGCCAATGGGCACTGAATCCCACCCCGAAAGCAGGCAGGAGTTACGAAAGCACTCGGAGCAATAGGTCGTACAACCAGAAAACCAAGCACTCTAATCTGGAGCTCATTCAATTAAGCGCAATTATGGGAATATGCAATTATTAGGTTTTTTAGTCGATTAATCGGCGGCCCTTTTAACTGAGCGTGCGGGAATTCACGGCGGCACACGCCGAGCGCGACGCGACGACGGTGAATGATGACGCGCCGACGATGATGATGCAGACGACGATGACGCAGACGACGGCGACAGTTATGATATCACCAGTCCCCACCCGGCTCGACCTGGAGCCCTTCACGCATGGATCCCATCGCTGCGGTTCTCTCGATCCGCGTTCCCCGTCACCGCTTCGGCATGACCGCCTTCAGCGGCCGCGATGAGCCCCTTGCATCCGACGCGACGAATCTGTTCAGCGAGCCGATTCGTCGCGTCGGATGCTACGTCGAGTCGCAGGACACGCTGCAGCCCTCGTATCGATATTCGTGTCGTGCATGCGCAGTGCGGTTAATACTAATAGGATCTCCGTGTGTGAGCATGACCATCAATATTCATGATGCCATGCGTGCACAATGCCACGAATGTAAAATGGAAAAAAAAAAACCATTTGAGTTGCCAGTCGTGCCAAAGGAACAAACAGCAAAAAATTCAAACGCATTTGTCAACAAAAGTTACGTGTAATGTCAAATATATACTAGGAAACATATCGGGTGGTGTCCTATGCAGCGTTGCTGACGAATGTGTTCGGATTGTTAGTTATGAATACAGATGAGATGAATATGGCACAGTGTGTTGTTTTTTTTTAGTGCCTATGAACGGATCGCCCAGAATGCACCCACCTCATGAAACCTCTGAAGCTGAGCCTGGACAGCGCTCGGGTGGATAACCCACAATGCATAGCAGATGCTATAGGCTGCGGCGCTCGGTGATGGGCAAGAGAGGGGGTAGTGCATTACAGTCCAGTGTTGTACTGTACTTGTGTGCTACCGTGCAACACTCCCCGCCTTCGCCGATCCTTACAGATATCGCGGAGCCCCCCAACATCGCAAATGTGGCTGGGACGCCACTAACGGGCGAAAGTGTTGCGGCTGTCACTTTGGATTCTAATTTCTGATCGACGAAGCTTGAAGCCCATATCTGGCAGTCCGTGAAATGCAGCCCGACTTACACGGATGCATGCCAGGATCTCGAGACGTGATCCGTCGTAGTGCACGGGAAGAACGCTGCTGTTGACGTCCCTAGGTCAAGAATCGGACTTAGTTCCTAAGGCTTCGCTGTTCCTGCCCCGCTGCGTGGCATCAACCTTGTGTCCTCCTCTCTCAGTCTGGTGAATTAATCATCAAGAGAGGCTCTTAAACGCACACGATGTCAACGGCAGCCACTTTTGCAACTGTGATTTGGCAACTATGAACTGGCAAGTGTAATTTATGCTTTCTGTGTATTATCTTGAACATTTGCTGGGTTTTTTTTTTCTCTCCACATTATTCTGTTACCTTTTTTGCATGTGGTTCTTTATGTTGATCTGCCTGTGTAACGTGTTCTGCCAATTTTTTATTCTCCATTGCTGTCTCCAGCTTGAGTTGGGTTCTTGCAGCCAAACTCAAACATCTGTGTTTAACACAGGGACCAGTGTCCGAGAGAGCAAGGAGACCACTCGCTGTGTGGCAGGGCTAGTGAGGGAGTGGGCGAGGCTAGAGAGGCAGTGGGCGTGGCTAGTGAGGGAGTGGGCAAGGCTAGTGAGGGAGTGGGCGAGGCTAGTGAGGCAGTGGGCGTGGCTAGTGAGGGAGTGGGCAAGGCTAGTGAGGGAGTGGGCGAGGCTAGTGAGGGAGTGGGCGAGGATAGTGAGAGAGTGGGCGTGGCTAGTGAAGGAGTGGGAGAGGCTAGTGAGGCAGTGGGCGAGGCTACAGAGGCAGTGGGCGTGGCTAGTGAGGGAGTGGGCAAGGCTCGTGAGGGAGTGGGCGAGGCTAGTGAGGGAGTGGGCGAGGCTAGAGAGGCAGTGGGCATGGCTAGTGAGGGAGTGGGCGAGGCTAGTGAGGGAGTGGGCGAGGCTAGTGATGGAGTGGGCGTGGCTTGTGAGGGAGTGGGCGAGGATAGTGAGGGAGTGGGAGTGGCTAGTTAGGGAGTGGGCGAGGCTAGTGAGGGAGTGGGCGTGGCTAGTGAGGGAGTGGGCGAGGATAGTGAGGGAGTGGGCGTGGCTAGTTAGGGAGTGGGCGTGGCTAGTGAGGGAGTGGGCGTGGCTAGTGAGGGAGTGGGCGAGGCTAGAGAGGGAGTGGGCGAGGATAGTGAGGGAGTGGGCGAGGCTAGTGAGGGAGTGGGCGAGACTAGTGAGGGAGTGGGCGAGACTAGTGAGGGAGTGGGCGGGGCTGATGGAGGGAGTGGGCGAGGCTAATGAGGGAGTGGGTGTGGTGATGTGGGAGTGGGCGGGGCTGACGGAGGGAGGGGGCTATGATTAAGCCTCCCAGAGATTCCGATCAACCAACCCGATGACTGGCAGAGCATGGGGAGGGCTTCATTCAGAGCGGGATTGACAAGCGACTATCAATTATTAAATAGTTAATTATTACAGGAATAGAATCAGTCGACCCCCAGCTAGGATTTAGACTTGTAAAATAGTGAAGTAATTACTAATATTGTGCCATCTCTGCCCAGTCAATCACATTCTGGTTGTGTGCGCACAAAGACAACGATCCGTGTATCGCTGAATAGACTAGCACCTATGAAGGCCGGTACAGCGTGCAAGGGGGTGGGCGGGCAGCACCATGCCTGGCAATCTTTGTCTCCCCGGTGGCGATGTTTACACATCGTGCCAGCTACTTATTTGAGGCTGAGTCGACCTTGAGGATGCCCAGGACCAGACAGGATAATCATCGTCGGTGTTGGCTTGGAGCGGGAGCTTGGGTTGCTGGTTTGGTAGCGCAGTGCACTAACCACTACACTGCCGCTCCCCGCTGTCTTTGCGCACACGCACGCACGCAGACCGAACGAGCATCACGCTGGCACCGAGCGGGGCGTCCGTGACGGTGGGCGGCCAAGTCACCCTGCAGTGCCGGGCCATCCCCGACCCCTCGCTGGATGTGGCCTTCGAGTGGAAGCTGCACGATCGGTCCATCGACACGGACGACAAGAACCCACACTACTCGCGCGTGCGTGGGGTGAGCTGGGATCCGTGCATCACCACCGAGCCCCATGCCCACGATTCATGCATCAACACCAAACCCCATGGCCACTTGCATGGGAAGTAAAAATGTCGGAAGTTCGATACCTGGCTGGGCATGAGATGCCACAAACAGGGGCTCCAACCACATTCCCCAGCGTAATGGGACCCACGTTTCCATAGGAATCCAGATTATTGGAACGTTGTTAATAATTTGCCTGGCCTCCTTCACTTACGACTGAAATCTGGTCTCCTGAAATTAAGGTTTAAGTGCCAAAACAGCCTCCAGATGTCACAGGATAAAGGCTTTATTGCGTCATTCTGGGAGGGTAGCAGGGAGCGAGATCACACGAGCAATGAGCGGCTTTGTAGTTGATGCACAGGTGAATAGCAGCCCAGCGCAGGGACCCGGAGGACAGGTGTGATGTTTGATAAGTCGAATTTTCCGGCGGCTCTTAATTGTTTCCACTTACCGTGTCAACCACTGTTGGCGGTGGGAAGGGAAATCAAACACTTCTGGGTGTCTAAAAGCTCAGGCGAGGTGGCTCCGTGCCTCTCTGCGTAAAGTCGCTGCGTTGTCGCAGCGTCGCTCTGAACGCGCACGGTGTCTGGGCTGCGGTGCCGCTGATAAGAGGAGCGGCGACCGGGCGCGTGTCCTGCACCCTGCCGCATCCCTCTGCATTCTGGGCACTTCCTCTGCTCTCACAGCTGCTGCCGCTGCTTATCTCACGAGCAGACGTACGGTTACGCTGTTTGTGTTAGCTTCCCTTTCTCTCCTCTGTGTGTGTGTGTGTGTCCCAGTCTCTGTTTGCGTGTCTGTGCATAGAATACATTACTGATAATGACTTAAGTCAGTGGAAGCTTTTAAACGCTTTGCAACTAAGTTTGAGACTTTGAATGCCTTCTGCTTTGTCCGTCTATGATGGGACAGCGGTCACGATAACTCTCGTAGAGATGATGCAGTATGAGTGACATACGTGAATATAAAGTCGCGTCGCTGTTTGAGACGAACCCTGTATATAATGGACATATCAGTCAAAGGTTTGCCCGAAATTTGATGACAAAAAACGAGCGCTGATAGAATTGGCCTTGTAGAACAAGGCAGACACGCTCCCCTACCCCCCTCCCAATGCCATCACTATTACTCACCGTGGAGATGGAGCAACGAAATTCACTCGTGTGCAGATGCTGGGTGGATTATTATTACATCGCAAGATAGTGAAAGATGGCAGCTTCTTGGGTGGGGGGTCTTCTTCCAGCAGTGGATTGACCATGGCTGATGTTGATCATGAAGATTGGTCACTGGAGCATGATGTGACCATCAGATGAAGCCATTGCTAAACGCTTCTCCATTTATCTGCAGCATGGATGGTGCTCGGGCATTCATGTGGCGCGGAATGTTAGATTTACACCCGATGGATTGGGTGTAAATGTAGGCGGGGAGCCAGAAACACTACATTTAGTTCTGCATGAAGGGAAGGAATAACACAGAAGTCGCCACGTGCAGCAAACCTGATTCACAATGTCATTCGGTCTGAACTATGATACTCAGCCTCCTACCATGTATGAGGTGGTCGTGCCTGAGCATGATTGCGTACGTGTGTGTTACACGTGTGTGTGTTACACGTGTGTGTTACACGTGTGCTACACGTGTGTGTTACACGTGTGTGTGTTACACGTGTGTGTGTGTGTTACACGTGTGTGTTACATGTGTGTGTGTTACACGTGTGTGTTACACGTGTGTGTGTTACACGTGTGTGTGTGTGTTACACGTGTGTGTGTGTTACACGTGTGTGTGTGTTGCACGTGTATGTTTCTACATTCTTTTTTATGCGTGTGCACTGAGCTACCAATCTTGGCGACCCAAGTAAAATTCCCGCTCACGGCCAACACCATCGGTGATTGACTGAACTAGTCCTGCATTTCCCCTACGTTGACTCAACCTCAAATGATTACCCGGTGCGATTTGTAAACATCGCCACCAGGAAGACCAAGGCGGCCGGGCATAGTGGTGGCCACCCACCCCTTCGAATGCCATGTCGGCCTTCATAGGTGCTACTTGTTAACAGCACTTGCCCTAGCAGTCTCTTTAGGCTATACGGAAGATCTTTGTGTGTGTGGCTAACCGGCAATCGTGGCAAAGGGTATCTTAAAATATTGTGGGCCTCACTTGGTCGAGTCAGTCTTAAACGAGTTCCTTTAGCGGTGTCCAAACACCAGCACTGCAGAAGCGCTCGGGATGCTGGCCACCACACCATCCTCCTGTCTGCTGAGTTGACCAAAGTCGGTGCTTCATCACAGAACTTCCCTTGTTAGTCTATAAAGAGACACACACGGGACAATTACCTTTGTGTGATTCCGAAAGTTTGTAGGCAGCATAAAACGAAAATGCAAGTTTTGTACTTGTTTACCAATTGTACTATCAATGTCATGGTGTGTTGTCCTTTCCCCGGACCTCCGAATAGCACAGGTAGCTACGTACAGGGCTCAAGGAGTTCAACTTTGTTGCAAGCGGTGCATCACCCTGTGTTATCGAACGGCTGCAGAAAATACAATCACAGAACAACTTCTGAAGTCGCTTCAATGGAGATTTGTATCCATACTTGCGGCGTGCCTTTTGTTGCCCTGCAAATATTGAAGAAGATTAAGTGACCACCCAAATTGTAGAGTATTGTAATGGTTTTGTTGTGCAGTCATGGATTACTGGGCTGACAGCGTCAACCCACTACATTTTAGAATCCAGCAGCCGCTCGTATTCTGAGCGTAATTTTCTTGGTCACGCCTTTGGTTGAGAATATCTTCTCTGAAGCTATTGCGACGCACAACTGCGGCAGGCATATTCAGAAATAAAATAAAACACCAGACAGTAAATGAGTTTGGAGATGAGGTGAGATTCCTTTCTTCAGCTCTTGATGTTACCTCCAGCAGTCGAAGACTGCTCATCGTGCGGCGTGACCAGGCAGACCCCACGTGAATCTCGGCGTTTCTGCCTCAGTGCTCTGTCCCCGGAGCCATCCGGCCACCTCCAAAATCGCCAGTCTCATGGTTAGGCCATGGGCCAGAGTAGAAATCGGTACCACCTAAGGGACCAAATCATACCCATTTATTTACATGGCGAATAAGGGTCAATTAGTTTAACACGTAGGCTTTCGCGACCAATATCATCCATCATATCGTTTTGGGGGATTTGCTCTCAAACACACCGGTGTGCTGTACTAGTAACGAATTGGCACGTTATGTTTACGTGACAAACCTTACTCGTTGGCTGTGTCGGGTAGTAGAGGGTTTAACGGCACATTTATATGTTTACACGATCTAACCCAAAAAAAACTATATCATGGAAGGGTCAATGAGTTGATACCCATTTGAAATTATTGTTACATAGATCGCTGTTTATTGGCCACATAATGGCATAGGAGCCACCAATGTTAAACCAACTTGGGTGGCACTGACGAGTGAAATTTCTGCTCTGGGCTCGTGGGGTAAGTGCAGAGCGGCCCGGCGCGAGGCGTGAATCGGGGATCTCTGCTTCGCCGAGGAGGAGGAGGCGATCGTAGCGCACCAACTATCCCGACTACCTCGAGTGAGCGTGCCCCTGCACGCTCAGCCGTGTAATTAAACGCTGCGGCTGAATTTACGCACTCATCGCGACCCTTCGTCCACGCAAACCGCTTAAATCGTTGCTCGGTGAAAATGCTTTTTTGAAAGATGTAAATTTAACCCTGCGAGGAGTCCAGTCCGATGTCTTTGCCACGCTTCCTGTCTGCGCATGCTAAACAACCTGGGGGCGACACGAAGCCGACCCCAGCATTTTTCGTTACATCAATCAGCCCGTGCCTTTTATTTAATCACACGAGATCCCCTGGAGATGCATTGCTTTAGTCGTTGTGCATGGTCGTGGTTATTTCACATTTTTGTGTTTATTTATTGAATTAGGACCGCGACGCCGGCACACATGGCCTACTCTTTGCGTAACGTGCGCTGTGAAGCGGACAGTGTATTTAGTTTGTACAGTACACCCGTGATATTAACCAGAGAGGCCGCTGGGTCTAAACCGCAAACCTCTGCAACGAGCAGCAAAGGCGCTACGGCGCGATCCCCCCCCCCCATCCTCCCCCCATCCCCCCATCCCCCCCATCCCCCCCATCATCCTGCCCCCATCCCCCCCATCCTCCCCCCATCCTCCCCCCATCCCCCCCCATCCTCCCCCCATCCTCCTCCCATCCTCCCCCCATCCTCCCCCCATCCTCCCCCCATCCTCCCCCCATCCCCCCCCGTGTGCACCCCCCTGGGGTGGTGCTCATCTCTGTTGGCAGCCGTGAGCCAGTGGTGTAAAGTCCTCGTCGCTATGGTGATAACCTGGTCCGTTTCCCGTTGCTATGGTGATAATCTGGTGCGGTTCCTATTGCTGTGGTGAGAACCAGGTGCGGTCCCCTTGCTATGGTGAGAACCTGGTGCGGTTCCCACGAGAGAATGACGGGATATCCACCGTATGCAGCCAACTCCTGGCTGCAGTATGCCAACTGGACAGCCTTGTTACCTGGGGGATACATTTATTTTACCCAGAGGGAGACATCATTAGTATTGACCCAGGAATGCCTCGCTGAGTCTCAAGATTCTCTTTCCAGAAGGTCCTGCCAAGTTTAAAATTTGCGGGTACATTTTCAGTATCGGGATATGTTTTGACCAGTACCAGTTATATTGTGTGTGTGTTTAGCTATAATAATAATTTTATATCGCATCATTCATGCAACTGCATACCACAACGCTGCACATCAATTATCCAGTTCCGTACAAAAACATACAAAAATCCCACTACTTAGCAAATATTCAAAAAGTATACATAAATAAGGAGAAAAATTCACTAAAAGGAAAAAAATATCGCAGGGGAAAAAAGTTAAATAAATAAATCCGTTCGGTCTCTATACCCCAGACTACAATCCCAACATTTCGCTAGAATTTCGAGAACCTTTACTGGAGGGGTGGTGGAGTGGCCTAAAAGTTCCGAGCCATTTGGACAGCAATGTAAATGCCTATTTTCCAGCGTGTATGCCGGTACAAATAAATAGCTCTTCAGTTCAGATTTTAATAAGTTAATTGATCTGATTTGTCGGATGTGTAGCAGGAGAGTGTTCCAGACTCTGTTGGCTGCACGTGTGAACGCTCGTCCACCAATCGACTTGTGTTGAATTTTTGGGGTGGACAGCAAACCTTTGAGTGAAGCAGAGCGGGGAACTCGAAGTTGGGGAAATAAACTGAAATGACAGGGGAAAGACAGGCAGAGGCTAGCCCATGAAGAATTTTGAAAACGGTAAGAGCAATCTTGAAAGTTATTCTGGACTGAATAGGTAGCCAGTGGAGGGATCGTAAGATGGGTGTGATATGATGACGCTTATGGGTATGAGTGAATAATCTTACAGCTGCTCTCTGCACATATTGTACACGTTGGATGCGAGACAAGGAAAGACCATATAACAGAGAATCGCAGTATTCTAGCCTAGAGGTAACAAATGCATTAATTATTGTTGCTCCAGCCGTATCGGGGAGACGGCTACGGTCACGAGAAATTTTACGGAGATGGAAATAAGCAGTTTTGCACGTTAGGGAAATGTGAGAGGAAAAGTTAGAGTTTCGAGTGAATAATGAAACCAATATTCCGTGCCTGTTGACTCATGAAGATCAGATTCAAGCAGACGTACAGTGGAGTGGCGATGCATCGAGGTAAGTGATTTTTTTCCAACTTAGAGAACTTCAGTTTGAGCGTTAAACATTTGAAGAACATTTTCCGCGAGCCAGTCAGCAACCTCGGTCAGACAGGAAGACTTTAGAGTGGAAGTTGCGTTTATGTCAGATTGACTGAAACTGATATAAATGTGTGTATCATCTGCGTAGAAATGGTGTTTTATACCAAAACTGGAGATGAGTTTGCCTAAAGGAAGAAGTTGTCTAGTCAATAGAAGAGGCCCTGGAAATGGACCCTTGTGAAACGCCATCAAGCAGAGGTTTGTTCGAGGAAGAGATTCCGTTTATGACGACGTGATACACCCGATCAGAGAGAGATGAGAATAAATCCAAGCTAGAGAGGCTATGGGAGGAAACTGCAGAACGCGCAGAGAAACGCTTGGCACAACATGGAGAGGCGGTACAAACGAAACGGAAGAAAGGTGCCCGGGTGATTAGCGTAAAAAGGTAACATAGGACCACGGAGACGAGATGTTTACGAAGCACCAACAAATCTTTATTGTGAGAGTATGTACATGTATGTACAAGTAAACATTTCTCGTGTGCGCTGTCTTGTTTTGTAATACTTTACACGTAACATGTTCCGACTTCACCCCCTGCGTTCTTCACGTTAACGGCACGCCACGAAGTTGAAACGCGGATTTTTTAATGGGATTTGCACTCCGGTTTTTGTTCGTAGCAGGGACTCGGCTGTTATCGTGTAAAATGTCAAATGTTTCACCTTTGTAATATACAGGGTTTTGTTACAATTTTACGATTGAAATAAATGAATCAAAGTTACGTTTCACGGGAAAATGTATTCGACCAGTTCTTAAATTCGTAACTTGTTTGAGATATGAAGATGGTGCTTGGAACATCAATAATGGAATTACTGTTATCAATCATTCATAGCACATATTTTACTGCTGTTCTCAAATATATGATTAATAGTTGCACAGGGGGTTGCTTTAACCACAGCCGTCTGATATGATGGTCTCTGCCTTGATGTCATTGATTAATGTTCCTTAATTATTTCTGAAATCAATGCATTTTCCAGCAGGAAATTATGAAAGCAGTCCTGCAATTCATATACGTTTCCCTTGCAGTGAACACAGTTTTACTTTCAGTTGCACGTATGCTGGTAGAACAAGCAATACTATTTATCAATTAGTGCCTTGTTTGTGAATTCGCATTGTCATTAATCCAATGAAAGTGGATATTTGATGACTCCGCAAATATAACACGAAGTAATTTTAAAGTAAGTAGAGTAATGTGTCAAACCGTAAATGGTTTATTTTTTGCTCAGGCATTAAACAGATTAACTTGAAATATATATCTAAAAGCACATCAATATTTATATTTTTGAAAGCCCAGATAAGTGTGCTTGAGTATCTCGTCTGGCGACGCTCGCAATGCACTGTGGTCACCTACCCTCTGTGAAGCCAGCCTCCTTCAGGATGCCCTGCAGCGGTTTGCACACTGGTTGGATCTACTGGCCGGGCAGTTGAAACAATGAGGCAATGGTCTCAAATCCCCCATGCCGCCTCTGTCCCCACACCATCACAGACCACAGTTCGTCAGTGGGTTGTCGTGTGGGCCCTCTACAGTGGGCCGTCTGGACCTCTCTCTGGTGGAGGGTGTTCTTCCGGCAGTAGCGCGAGCAGTACATGCCCGACAGTTATATTGAAATAAGCGTAAGCATAGAATTGCTATTTAAGCTTAACGTGATGTTTTGGCCTGGCCTGCACATATTTCTCGGCTGATGACATTGGAAAGGATGTTTATTTTATAATGTGGCTTGGGATTGCCATTTTTCTTAAATCTTTGTGGGAGGACATTTTTTTCTCTCTTAATACCCACGGACATAACTCTATTTTGAGCCTTTAGGTGAGACTTTTTGCAGTAATTTATTCAAAAAACAAGTTGAAGGTAGTGTGGTTACGGACTAAAAGATCATTTGGAAGTAGAGGAATGTATTTATTAACAAATACTGCACATGACATGATGTGCACAATGTTGTAAGGAGCTCAAGGGACAATGCAGGATAGGTTTTTGATGGACTACATCAACCAATTGGAAAGACACTCAACGTGAGTGTGGCGAGTTTGTAAAGACGGAGTAATGTCCACTGCACTGTGTGGGTCAGAGGCTGAGCCCCCACCTCCTCGCCCAATTTCTCTGAATGTTCGGCTCCACAGGTGGATTGTGACTTGATAAGTGTATTGTGACTCTCCAGGTATACTGTGACTCTACAGGTATACTGTGACTCTACAGGTGTATTGGAACTCTTCACGTATATTGGGACTCGACAGGTATATTATGACAGAATGTTGCAATTCTACGCTTATTTTCAATCCTTTCTTTTATGAGGGTCCTGCCAAGTTTTGTGCAGTAAGGGGCGATGTTGCTGCTGTGCGTGATCCCAATTAAGCAATTTGCAGGTTCTCTTTGAACATTTGGGAGCTTTGGCCAATACCAGTCACGCTGTATGTGTTTTTGCTATGAAAGGAAACCAGATGACCCAGAGGGAACTCATGCACAACAGGGGGAGAACACACACACTGCATTCTAATGCTCATTTAGTCGAGGCAGTTCTCGCAACAGTGTCACAAACAAGCAGTTGCAGGGCTGCACCTTTATCTTTTACCAAGAGACCCCTCTATTGTCGGCGACAGCTCGTAACGTAAATGCCCCCCCCCCCCTTCCTGCTGCGTGCACAGAAGGAGACGGTGGGAGACCTGGTGATCAGGGACGTGCAGCTCCTGCACGAAGGGACATACACCTGCCTGGCCCAGACCGTGGTGGACACCGCTTCCGCCAAAGCCGACGTGGTGGTGCGGGGTGAGCACACGGCACTCCCCACGGAGCTCTCCGAGCTCTCGCGACGCAAGCGCTGCCCCGAGGGATGAGTCTCATCGGTGGCCTGAGTTGGCCGTCCGGCCCAGAGGTCAGAGCACTGAGCTGCCATTGCTCTGCTCCTGATTTCAAATCCGGACAGCTGCCTGTGATGAAGCTGGGTTGTCAAGTCTCCTCCTTTGGCGTGGCCAGTGTCAAGACACTGTTCGAGGTTCATTTGTAAGTGATTTAGCCATTCGATTGCTTCGTATTGAGGGGTGGTGAATGGCAGATACACCCACTTCATTGATTCTTCCGCCTCCTCCCATGTTGACCACTTGATTTGCCAGACTGCGTGGTCTCATAAACGCTGTGTTCATCCTTCACACTGCACGTCACAACAGACTCACCGACCCACCCACTCACTCACCCCCTCAACAACCCACCCACCTACTCGTCCGCTCATTCACCCGCTCACCCGCTCACTCACCCCCTCACCCACTCACTCACACACCTACTGCCTTCAAATTTACATTTGGAGCAGTGCGAAGTTACACGCTCCGTGCTGTAGAGTTCATAGCCACACATAGTGGAGAGTCTTGCATTGTCCTCTTGTGCAGGTATCCACATCTTCATTGTCAAGTGTCGTGAGTTGATGGTCTCAGCCCAGTCACACAATAATTTAACAAAATAAACAGCATCACGTAAAAGTCGGTTGTTCACTACTTTGGATAATTTCCAGGTGTGATAATTAAATTTCGCTTTGCTGTGAGAGGTCCAAACTGATACTTTGTCTCATGGCACGACACCCATAGCACAGTGATGGGGTGCTCCTGGAGGAAAATGACTGATTTTTTAAAACATCATTGATACTGAGCGGCCGGTGTTAGAGAGCCAACCGCAAACCCACAGCACAGCGAGCCACGAGTAGCTGGTCTTAGAGAGCCAGCCGCACACCCACAGCACAGCGAGTCACGAGCAGCTGGTGTTAGAGGGCCAGCCGCAAACCCCCACAGCACAGCGAGCCACGAGTAGCCGGTCTTAGAGAGCCAGCCGCACACCCACAGCACAGCGAGTCACGAGCAGCAGAGAACAGTGACACGGTTTCTGCGTGGCCGTGGCGGAGTCATCCGGCCACTCACGACGAGTACGACGATGTCAATTCCATCTGTCGCTGTGCCCATCCGTAGTCACTTCCCGTTTCACCTCAAATACTCGACCAGGGCTCCGCTTCCTATGAAACTTGACGGATAAGCAATGGCAATCCCTCTATTGCATACGTTTTTTTTTGCGAGGTTAGCCGTGCAGTTTTTTTTATAGGAAACTTTAACTTACATTAGTTTGCTCCCAGCGGCTTTAGTGCGCATGCAGGGCATGACGCTTGAGTGGATCGTGACCGACGGATGAGGCTTGCAATGGAATCGCAGCCAAATGGGGGAACACATCCGAGAGGAAGACTGCTGCGGAGATGCAGTGAAGAGATTGGCTCGTGTGTCAGAAGCCAGACGGATTGTGGCATCGCAAGATCATGAGGGATGGTGGCAGCATGGGGACACCTTCATTGAGCAGTGGATAGAGCAGGGCTGATGATGATAGATGACTCTGTACACGTTGTGGGGAGCGGTGCCATCGATGTTAAACATTATAATAACATACGGTGAGAAAATAGCACTGTGCTACAGGACATTAGGAATATTTAAATGTCTCTAAATGACTTAACTAGGTAAGCTCTCCTTCACGAATAGTTGCCAAATGTAACATGCAACTTGCATGGGAACAGAAATGCTCATGAAATGTGGCATTGTGTAAATGTGGATGACAGTCTAGCGGAGGTGCACTATGGAGACTTTGTAAAGCCAGGTCTCGTGAAAAAATACATATTACGGAACAGAGAAAAAAATCCAGTTTTTTATATCCATTTTGCAGACTTGATCTTTCGCCGTGGGATTTTTAGATGGAGAACACATGTTGGGGTGAATTGAGCGTTATTCAAATGAGGGGAATTTACATTTAAATACCTCACCCTTATTTCTTCATAGAGCTCAAATGACTCATGAATAAACACGCAGAGAACACGTCTCCATCGCTACTGTCCGCTTCGCTTAAAAGGTCCTTTTGGTTGATGTCAGCCGGCAGTGATCTGCGCTCATTTCTTGTGGCAGAAAGGGCCCGTCCATCTGCCCGGTGTTCGCTGAGAAACTCTTGACATTCCTAGCCAACCGCATGAAATAACAGTCTATCTCGTTGAGCTTAGTTCGTGATCCCCAGCCTTCTTTGTAACTGGGACCCCCTTTTATGTAAGTATTTATGTATTTTGTATGTAGTGAGTATGTTGTATGTATGTTGTATCTATGTTGTATGTATGTTGTTTATATGTTGAACTTCTTTTGCACCATACGTAGCCAACCGCGCTAATCAGAGGTGTAGGGAAGGACAACAAACTAAATACACTTCCCGTTCTAAAGAACGGAGTTTTCAATCGAGATGATGATTTCAAGTGCATAGCTCTAGTGGCTTCCTAATATCGGAAGGACAAGTGTTCCAGGCAGTCGCAGAAGCGCATCTGAAAGCGCGCGATGCAGTGACCGCCTGTTTTTCGATGGACAGCCAAAAGCTGCTGCGAGGATGGCCGGAGTTCGCGTGATGATGGTTTAAGCTCCTTGACGAGATGAGCGTGGTATTGTGGTTCATTTGTGGCAAGCACTTTGTGTGTAACGAGTGCGACCGTACATATGTAACTCAAGGTGAGTTCAGGTTATGCACTCGAGTGCGAATCACCCCGTCCCCCTGATATATTAAAGAAGACGTCGTGGAACGACCTCAACCAATTCCTGGGCCTCACTGGGCTCCTGCCTGACTGCCGAGCCGTTGCCAACCCCATCCTTCACCATTACTGCTGCACCATCGTCCACATCTGCTCGCTGTGCTACTCTCATCTCATTTTCACCCTTTCCCATCACTTCACTTTTCCTCCACCACTTGCTTGTTCTTCAATACCCTCTCCTTATCCACTCTTAACCTTTCCTTTTCTCCACTTATCATCATCGGTGATTTCAGCACCCGTGCCGATGATCCCATCACCTATTCCTTTTTAGCATTTTTTCTACCTACGTGACTTTACCGAAAGACCCAAAGAGTATGAATTCCTGCAGTCACGAAAGCTTCAAGTCAAGATCGATTCCTTTCCTTGGGCCTACCATCCCAATACATTACCCCCTTTCATCAGCCTCCCTGTCCGTGACATTCACCGTCATACACCTTCATCCGACACCACCGACTTCACCCTGCCACGCATTACACACCACAGCCCCTCCCCGCTTGTTCACCTATCCACCACCCTTATACACCTCTGCAACCCCTGACCTCTTTGCTCCACCTGCACCACCCACATCTCTCAGGCACCCCCGCCGGTCCCCTCGTAGCTCTCGGGCCCTCTCCACCGGCATCCCAGCCATCTACGGTGCAGCTCTCCAACCTGATTGTCGCTTCACTCATTCCACAATCCTCTGTCTCACTGAGAATTGGCACATGGCACGTGGCCTCTGACCCCGCCTATCTTTTTGAAGCTTTCCCTTTCGGCCGTTGTCTCCATAGAGGCAGTGGCATCGCTGTTATATTCTAAGCGAGTCACAATTCTTCACCGTACGCCCTTTCATCATTTTGCTTCCTTTGAGCATCTCTTACCTCAACCTCGATTTGTCATCGAAAGTAACCCCTCAACTTCCGATCGCACCTCCACTCTTAACCTTTCCTCTTCTCCACTCATCATCATCGGTGATTTCGGCATCCGTGCCGATGATCCATCAAATTCCCGCGCGCAGAGACAACGGCACATTCGCCCAAAACAAGAAGTCAAATCAGGTTCCAAGCGTCGTGTCCGTTCGACTTCCTTTTCTGAAAATCAATATCCTCTCAGAACACCGCATTGTGAATAAAATGCAATGACTGCATACCATCAACATTGGTGAAATGGACGGCAATCCCCCTCAAAGGGTTATAATGATTGATTGCGAGGAGACATGCACGAGGCCCTCCTGCGAGGCGGTGAATCATGCTGGACTGCGCTGCGTTCCATTTGGCTACATTTCATTATGTTTTATTGGGTTTCTCAAAACAGTGTTTCTCCGTAGGGCAGCATCCATCACGGGCTCCGGTGGAGAGGCCTGGCAGTTCCGAGCGATCACTGCCGGCTCGGTCACCGCTCGCCGAGCTCACCGGGGAGCCGGCCGGGGTTTGAGAGTCCCCGGGTGAACGAGCATCGCGCCCCTCCTTCTGGCTGCGCTCGGAGGAAGCGCGGCAAGGCCACGAGTGCCTCCCAAGTTATATTTTTTTTCTTCAATTTGTTTTCCCTACCTTTTTCCCCACTCCAATTTGATCACAATTGTGCTGAAGGCATCGTGCCATTACACGACGAAGAATTCACTTGAAACACTCACAGAGCGGCGATGCACCGCGCGGTAGAGAATGGGTCTGTGGAAGGAGACGTCGCAGGCTGCTTCTGAGATGTCTCCAAGAGACGTCCAAGCAGAATGGGGGGGGGGGGGGGGGCAGTGGTGATTGCGTTTCACCTGATTGTCGTGCCGATAATTGTAAGTCTCGGTGCTGGATTTCATCCAAATGAAAGTTCAGAACACAAATGTAATGCGATGGCATTGTGTCACCGGGCTGAGATCATCGACTCGTTACACTCAGTGGACCTGGTTTAAGCTTTGAGCAGCTCCTCAGATTCGGTGCCACAACTCAACGACGCGTGGGGGATTTTTGAGTTGTGCATTCATTGGCTGGCATTCAAACCCAAATGCAATGTATGAACTAACAGAGGCTCACAGAGACGCGGTCAATGTCACGCCTCTCCCTTCTGGTCGAAAACGCCTTTCTCTAAATGGCCAACTCGGGAATTTTTGTGACACATCTCAGGCTACGGTCGAATATGAACGAACCCGATACACCTCATGGCATATCCTGAGAAATGCTTTAAAGATGAACTTAAATGAATGTAGGTCCTTGCGTATTGATCATGGAAGGCAGCCAGATTCAGAGTTGAGACCACGAAGTTAATCAGAGCAAGTATCATTTACAAACCTTCATCCACAATGCTTCACAAAATGTTGGCATTGCTTTTGCGACCAACGTCTGTTCTCTCTTATTCGGCATTCCATCACGGACTGGATCTATTGCTTGGAAGTTGAGAGTCCAATTGCTTTCGATTGCTCTTTCACCTCATTTAGATAATCCATATTTAACCTATTCGTGGCCATGTGTTTGGGTCACTTTATTTACGTCTCATTATGCTCCTCTATGTTCCTGTCGTGTAATTTGCGTTTTTGAGAGATAGCATTTGACCCTTTGAACCCAGGTCTCCCATGACATGGAGACCGACCGCCCCGGCGCCTCTCGCCCCCCTGTGTCGGTGCCGCAGGCCCGCCGGGGCCCCCGGGAGGTGTGAAGGCCGTGTCGGTGAACGCCACTGCGGTGCGGGTGACGTGGAGCCACGGGGCCGACCACCACAGCCCCATCACCAGCTACACGCTGGAGTGCCGCTCGCCACTCTACAACAACAGGGCCTGCGTGCCCACCCGCACCGGTATGTGCCGGGCCCCCTGGGGCCTAGCTCGTCCAATGGCTTGCCAGGGTCGCTCCGTCGGGCCATCGCGAACGCGTTCCAAAACTGAGGTCGAGAGCGCAAATGCGTCCGTCTGTCCGTAACGTTGGGTCACGACAACTCTCGTAGACTGTGTTGGGTGATTACAGTGTCAGGGATTGACTGGACTGTACTTCGATGCACTGGTCAGTGCGGGATTGCGCGGAGAGTACGTCGATATTGGGAGCATGGAGGTACAACACAGCAATGCATTCTTTTACACTGGCCCATACTGCGCGCCACATAGCTCCGGAACCTGTAACACCTTGTTCATGATGGTCACCTGTCCAAGCGTTGTCCAGGCTAGGACGGCAGGGGCAGTGCAGTGGAAACACTCGCAGCAAGAAGGACCCGAGTTCGATCCCGACTCGGGCGTCTTTTTGCACGGAGTTTGTATATTCTCCATCTCTGAGTGCTCTAGTTTCCTCCCATAGCTAAAAACACAGAATGTAATTGCTATTGGATAAACATCTTAATGCAGGACCGTCGTGATTAAAACCCTTTGGCCTCAGTGTGGCTTTCCTGGCTAAATAAGCGATAATTATCTATTAACTCCGCTTCAGCTTCCAATATCTGATGAGATGGGGACCGTTTTGGGTGATTCGACCATCGCATCTCGCAAACCTCACGCTTGGAGCGAGCGTCTGCGCGAACCGCGGACGGCCGGGCCCGCGGTCGTTCGAATCGCACGGCGCGGGCCGCTGACGCCACCGGCGCCGCCGCCGCCGCTCCCTCGCAGAGCCCCGCAACATCGAGGGGGACAGGGAGAGCGCCCTGGTGGGGGACCTCAAGCCGTGGGTGGAGTACGAGTTCAAGGTGGTGGCGCACAACGCCTGCGGCCGCGGAAACCCCAGCCAGCCGTCGCAGCGCATACGCACGCCGGGCGCAGGTGGGCGCGTGGTGGACGGAGCGTGGTGAACGGAGCGTGGTGGATAGTCACGTGGATAATAGTGTGATTAACAGTAGAGTGTGGATAATAGGCGCGTAAGAGTTAGGATGTGTGGAACATGTATCTCCGTTGTGTGTATGTGTGGAAAGCGGCAGAGATGTGTTGTTTACCACGCTCCACCATGAACCTAATGTTCTCGGTGTGATTCACAGCCACGGTAACATCGGCTGGTCATTGATATCTGTACCTGTTCTGGGTCCTCCTCTTTGCCTATCTCTCTCTCTCTTTATGAACCTGTGTATATTTTTTCTGTGTCTCTCTGCCTCCCTGTCTCTGTATATCTGTGCCTCTTCATGTTTCTCTGCATCTCTCTCTTAGGAAATCTCTCCATTTTACGTTACCACTCCCATTATTGTAGTTACCGTGATCCTCATCATCACTGTCCTCCCTCAACGCTCATCGTCACCATCATCATCACTTCCAACAAGTCACCAACATCCATTGCCATCTACTCATTTTAAATCGTCCCCGTCTCCAATTTTTCACTTTGGGCAGCACTAGTAACACTTGTGCATTGTGCCTTACAGCAAGAGTCGCTAAGTTTGATTCCCTTCCTGTGTAGAGTTCCTATGTTCTCCCCCTGTTCTTCGTGGATTTCCTCCAGGTTTTCTAGGTTTCCTTCCATAGCTAAGCAAACACACACGATCTAACTGCTATTGGCCAAACATCCAAATGATGAAAATGTTCCGGTAAACTGCTACATTTTGCTTACACACCGCAGCAACATCACCCCCTACTGGAAGACAAATGGGAAGGACTCAGTGAGGCTTTCCTAACACGCGTAGTAATAATAATAGGTAACAATAATAATCATCCATTCCAATTTGTCATCTCCATCACCAACGTAACCAATCATCGTCACCATCACAAGCATTCATGGTCATCCATCATCATTCATCAGTCGTTACCAATCGTCGTCATCGTCGTCGTCATCATCGTCGTCGTCATCATCATCGTCATCATCGTCGTCGTCGTCATCATCGTCGTCGTCGTCATCCTCCTCCCCTTCTCTGTCGCACGTTGCCCTCGTGCCGTCCGCTCCAGTGCAGCGCATCCCCAACTGTGGGTCTCGGGGTCTCCCTTGGGGTCTTCCGAGGGTGACTCAACCAGACCCCACACTCAGCCAGACCCCACACTCAGCCAGACTCCACACTCAGCCAGACCCCACACTCAGCCAGACCCCACACTCAGCCAGACCCCACACTCAACCAGAACCCACACTCAGCCAGACCCCACACTCAGCCAGACCCCACACTCAACCAGACCCCACACTCAACCAGACCCCACACTCAGCCAGACTCCACACTCAGCCAGACCCCACACTCAGCCAGACTCCACACTCAACCAGACTCCACACTCAGCCAGACATCACACTCAGCCAGACCCCACACTCAGCCAGACCCCACACTCAGCCAGACCCCACACTCAGCCAGACCCCACACTCAACCAGACCCCACACTCAGCCAGACCCCACACTCAACCAGACCCCACAATTAACCAGACTCCACACTCAGCCAGACCCCACACTCAGCCAGAACCCACACTCAACCAGACCCCACACTCAACCAGACCCCACACTCAACCAGACCCCACACTCAGCCAGACTCCACACTCAGCCAGACCCCACACTCAGCCAGACCCCACACTCAACCAGACCCCACACTCAACCAGACCCCACACTCAACCAGACCCCACACTCAGCCAGACCCCACACTCAGCCAGACTCCACACTCAGCCAGACCCCACATTCAACCACACCCCACACTCAGCCAGACCCCACACTCAACCAGACCCCACACTCAACCAGACCCCACACTCAACCAGACCCCACACTCAACCAGACCCCACACTCAGCCAGACCCCACACTCAGCCAGACTCCACACTCAGCCAGACCCCACATTCAACCACACCCCACACTCAGCCAGACCCCACACTCAACCAGACCCCACACTCAACCAGACCCCACACTCAACCACACCCCACACTCAGCCAGACCCCACACTCAACCAGACCCCACACTCAACCACACCCCACGCTCAACCAGACCCCACACTCAGCCAGACCCCACATTCAACCACACCCCACACTCAGCCAGACCCCACACTCAACCACACCCCACACTCAGCCAGACCTCACACTCAGCCAGACATCACACTCAGCCAGACATCACACTCAGCCAGACTCCACACTCAACCACACCCCACACCCTTTGCCTGGTCGGCAGGTAGCCTCCGAGGTCAAATCCCAGAGCCTCACCACTACCACCGTCTGGCTTCAGGTCATCCCCTTGGCCGTCACCCACCTCTGTGATGTCGTCCCTTTGCCCGTTTCAGTGACCTGCCCTCCATCCTGCAAATGTCAACAACCATCACAACTTGCTTTTCCTGATTGCCTTCTTGATAAAAATATATATATATTCTGAGCCTCCACGTTGCTTACCCCATCCACGCGCGCGGCCCTCCACGCCGAGTGTGGGTGATTAATCCTTGCGTGGATGGATGTGGCGACGCAGTTCCCACCATCGTGCCCTCGAAGATCGGAGGAGGCGGGGGCGTCCACCGGGAGCTCACCATCACGTGGAAGGTTCGCGGCTCGCGCGGCGCCACCCTCCCCCTCCCCCCCTCGCCCGGGCCCGGCCGCCCCCCGGGTCTCCCCTCTGCAGCCAGCGGCGCTTGCGTGCCGCGTTCTCCCAGTGCTATCGTTGTTGTCGTCGTGCCCGCGAGACGACACAGAGCAGAGGAACCCTTCTCGCTAGACAGCAGCCGACATAAGTGGATATAACAGAGCTACCTCTGAGATCCCTCCCGGTGATCCTCTTCTCCGCACAGTGGAGGGCAGCACTTTCCCACCTGCTGTGTATATGACAGTAATGGTAATTGCATGACAGCGCTGCAATTCAGCTCAATTAAGAGCAACAGCTTATTCCAAGCGACGGTTTTTTCGTGACAACGCTGAGGCCATCAAGTCGCTTCACCTGAGAACCCGGCGGTTTTAGCCGCGGGCGGCTGCCTCGATGGGAACACAGCATCTCAGCGGTGCCAGCTCAACGCTCTGACGTCTGGGCCACCCGGCCGCCTCGCAGCTGTCATCGTGTCAACGCGTTGCATTTCACCGATTTTGCCTCCTGCTACCTTTGTCCATTTTCTGCGACCAATGTGCAGCTGTCGACCGCTGCGATGTGACGAGGCGTTCTCTCTTCTCTGCTCCGTGCCGTGGTTGTGTTCGGCATGCTTCTTCGTTGGAGCACAACGACGCAATAGTGGCTAGAAATTAGGCAGTAGTGGCTAGAAATCAGGCAGTAGTTGGCTAGAAATCAGGCAGTGGTGGCTAAAACACTCGTGTGAACATTCACGTGCAACATTCGATTCATCTTAATCCTGAAAGCACCCATAGGGGTGTTGGGCCCTGTAGTAATGCCTGCATTTTCATTCCTGTGTATTCCTGAAGAATATCGACTTCATCATTCCTCTGCTGTACTTAAAAGCAATGCTGTATTTGCTATCAGGACACAACTCTTTTTTCCTTGACAAACTCACCATGAGCCAGGAGTGCAAATTCGACATTCCCATGGCAGGGTCTATCTCTAGGATGACCACTGTCTGTTGACTTTCTGCAAAGTGATTGCAAAAACATTTCCGAGAGGAATTTAACGTCTGGATCAATCCCTGGCCAGGATTTTTACTCGAGCAGTCTCCTATTTAGAAAGCTGTGCACACCACCACCACCACCACTGCACCACCACTACCACTGCACCACCACTACACCACCACCACTGTGCCACCACCACCACTGCGCCACTACCACCACTATGCCACCACCACTGCACCACCACCACCGCGCCATCACCACTACACCACCACCACAGAGCCAGCACCACCATTGCGCCACCACTACCGCGCCACTACCACCACTGCACCACCGTGCCATCACCACTACACCACCACCACTGCACCACCAACACCGCGCCATCAACACTACACCACCACCACTGCGCCATCAGCACTACACCACCACCGCGCCACCACCACCACCACGTCACCACTGCCTTCAGGAGTTATTTCAGTGGTTACTTGCTCCAAAGAAATTACGAATCCTCGTTACATCTTTACCTCTTAGAATTAAGAACATTCATTTCATTGGTGATTCCATTGTGATGGGTATTTGGCTGGACAGCAAGGTCCAGTTGAAAATGCAGGGGCAGCCTGGGCGGCTTCCTCGCTCGGGCGATGATGAGACGCAACTGTCTCCGCTGCAAGCGGGGCATTTCTGTTTGCATTTGGGGATGAGTCCGTGATTACGGCCGCTTGCTCTCAAAACAAATCACCGAGCCCCGGTCCTCCAAATAGAATCTCCGCTGTTGCATTATCCTGGATGGGGTGAGCACGGAATGGGTGCCCTTCTGCTATCTCCAAATCAGACTTCCCCAGTTCTATAAATGGAAAATCCAGGTGGCGGAGCTGTGAAGGGCCTTCTACATTCCCAACTGTGCTTCACAGCAAACGCCCGATACAGAGTAGAGCTCTGCCCCGTTACCTCACTGCAAGATAGATTAATCCTGGCAGGAAACATCGTCGGAATGAGACTCCGGTACTCTGGGTCCTTCATGAGTATGCGTCGTTGCTTATAATCGACCTTCCCTGCTGGCCGTTGAGGGCGATGCATATTTTTTTTCCGTTTAAAATGTAGTTTCCAAAGATGTTCTGGCCCCTGTCATAGGAATGTAGAATTTCCATCACAATAAGCTCATGGCCAAGACTGTAGATGAACACTGCCCAATACTTGATTGAGTGCGGAGACACATCGTCTCACCCATCCTTGTCTTTTGGCATATTTGTGCGAGTCACCCTACATCTGTTTAATGTTCACGTACCTCAAAGACTGTACAACGATGAGTCTAAAAACAATCTGCCCGAGCCTGCTTACATTCCATGGAATGTATTGTTCAATGTTGATTTATGTTTGTGCAGTATGTTAGGATTTCCCATGCGACGCGGTTGCTTTTGCCCTGATTTCCATTCGCTTTATCGCTATGCTTTATTATACAGTAAAATCTTGGATTGCGAGTAACTTGGTCTGCGAGTGTCACGTGATCACAACTGATATACGAGTGCTTTGATATACGAGTGCTTTGGATTACAAACACGTTTCCAGAACGAATATTATGCTCGCAATCCAAGGTTTTACTGTATTTGTTTCGCTGTTGTGACCTACGTCACTCTGGAAAATAACGCTCTCCTTGGTCTCTCTCGTTCCCACCTTGGGCTCAACAAATAAACTCTCGCCTCGACTCGAACGCCCCTTCTTAACGCCCCCATAGCCAAGCGTGGACATTGTGAGGCACAAGCATCCATTTGCGGTGTTGTGATGCGGTGCGTGTGCCAGGGACAGCACGTGACTGATCGTGCGTACCGGGGCTGTGACGTGGCTCAGGCGCGTTTTGCGCGTGGGAACGATGCCATCAATTTCCCCGTAAACCGGTGACGCCGTTTTGTTGCCGTGTTCCGAGCTGGAAAACCGGAGGCTGCTCTTGGTGGTTACCACGGTCCAACCAAGCGAAACCCTGCTGCAGCACAAGTCTCTCTTGCAAGGGGGAAATGCGGAAGGAAAAATACAAAACGTGCAGCGATGATTTTGTAGGAGTTTATATTTTATTTACACATTCCATCAGCCACAGTGCCTTCTGTGGAGCGCATCATTTCAGCAGCTTTGGTTCAAAACAAGCTGATCTCTGGACCGGTTTTGACATGCAGTGTCTCATCGGCAGAGTCAAGCTTGAAACAACGCTGGCGAACTTCCCAACGCGATAGCCGGAGACTCGCACGAGTCGGTAGCGCTGTGTAGTACCGGCGCCGCCGTAGCGTGGGGCCGCCCTCCCTTTGACCATGCCCCCCCCCCCCCCGCCATGCTCCCACAGTCGGTGGAGCAGGAGTACCGCTTTGGCGATCGGTTCACCTACAACATCAGGTTCCGGCCGCTCAACAGCGCGGACAAGGTGTGGACCACGGTGGTGATCGGCGACGCCGACGCGTCGCGCTTCGTCTACAAGAACGCGAGCCTGGAGCCGTACGTGCCCTTCGAGGTCCAGATGCAGGCGAGCAACGTCCACGGAGGGGGCCCCTACAGCCAGGTGGTCGTGGTGCACTCCGCCGAGGACGGTGAGCCGGCACGCCGCTTTCGCGTTCACAAACTTTTCGCAGACCGCAGGGGGGAATCTAGCGAAGCTCTCGTTCGCAGGTGTCCAGTAGGGGCGGGGCCAGAAAGTCGCAGCGACACTTGTCGAGGGGGATTCGTGGTGGGTGCCCGACAGGCCGCCCTGGTTAATACTGCCTGCGCCGGTGCATTAGCCTTTAAATACCCGGAGCCGTCCGGCTCACGGTGGACGTTAAAGGTCCCGCCGTGTAGTCTGAAACGAGTCGCCCGTCGCGTGCCAGCGTCTTTGGTCCGGCGGCCCCAACTGCCCAGCCCCTGCACGGAGAGCCCCGGCGGGAGACGCCGATGGGAACGTGAGTGTGGCCGGGAAACCCCAGGCTCGTTTTGCTTACCCGGTAACCGCATGGACAAATAAAACTGGTCGAATCTGTTACTGCTTTGGAAGCGCATTCATAGATGTGAACAGCAATAAACACTATCATAGATGTCTACAGCAATAAACATGTTAACCTTTTAACTGAGCAACGAAAGCAGCTGCCACGGTGGCATAGCCACCTGCAGCACCGCTGAACTCGCAATCCAGAGGTCGCCGTTTCGACTCCATCTCCCGGCGCAGAAGTGCAAGCAATGGGGGGCGAATTTCTTAAACCTCCCCCAGCCTCTACCCAGCGAGCAGTCCAGCAGTGTCGATGGTGGGTTTACCAGTCTACGATGGCAGGTTGCATTTGGTGGGATACAATGTGGGCAGGCTCACTTCCAAGACGTCTGGTCATTGTGCAAGGGAGAGCCAAATACCCAAGGGTTCTCACTCTAGTGGAGGCCCCTCCACCAGCGGTGGTGTGAGCAGGCACTTACACGGCTGCACCTTTGCGCGGGTGGAGGCGTCCCCACGTTAACGACGATGCCGCTGTTCACAGAGCCGGACGTGGCTCCGCGCAGGGCAAGGGCCTTCCCCATCGCTCGCACGGCGTGCGCCGTCAATTACACGGAATTCAAAGTCACCTGGGAGCCCATTCTGCCCAACGCCACCAGCCGGCGAATCGTGGGATACGAGGTAAGGTAAACGCTCGGCTCACCGGAATTCAGATTTCGCATTTAGTTTGGACGGATGCTGGCTCAATAATAAAAAAAACCTCTTCAACACATCCTCTCCCGCGTCACGTAGGCCGTGTGCCTGAAGGGCACGTTCATGGTCGCGCTACGCAGATTCGACACGTGGACAATGACAGGGAAGAACAAAATATTCTAAATGTGCAAAGAAGCAGGAAGCGGTGCATGCTGGGAATAACACTGAGAGACAGACGCAGGCCAGACACTTCGTATTGACTCGAGTGGGGTGACTATGGAGGTGACTACGGTTTATTTGAAACTATTTATATTCTATCGGTAAAACCTCTCCAATGAGGTCCACTCGGAGCGTGCACACAGCGGCATCCTCGTTTGTACCGCGCCACGTCCGGCTCAACAGTCCCCACACTCAACGACCACCGAGGCTCTACGAGTCTGAGACTCAGCGGGAGGTTTCTACCCCTGTGGCTGTGTGCGACGCTCTCTGGTGGGCAGATACGCTACTGGAAATCCACGGATAACCAAGCGGCAGCAGAGAGAGTTCAGACCGAGTTCACCAACAGTGTCATCATCAGAGGTGAGCGGGGCGATTCAGGCTCATCGCCAACACACTGTAACCCACCAGATATGCGCAGCTCTGCTACTTACACCTGCTTAGATTCGCAGGTCTGATGGGCTAGGGTGCATTCCGATCGGTTTCGCGGTCCCATAAAACCACTTCTCATTTGTAGCCGGATTCTCGCCATTAATTTAGCTCTGTGGGTTCACTACCACTTCAGAAGAAATCCCGCTGCTGCTGTCCGGCAGCAGCTTTGGCTCGATCCAACCCGGGGCCTCTGGTCCCCCATGCTCCCCGCTCCGAGAGTCGCTCTGATCCGGCGATGCCACCGGCCCTCCAGCGTTCCACGCGACGGAGCCGGTCCACCCGCCTCCTCCCCCTCTCCGCTCCCGCTCCAGCGCCAGGCGATCCGACCCACCGACCCAACGCTCGCTGTGACCCCTCCTCCAACTTGAGACGTGCGGTGGGGGAGGTGGGGGGGGGGGGGGGGGGCGATGAAAGAGCGCGACAACTGAACGCGTGGGACTCGAGGCGCGTGGCTCCGTGTGTCGCAGGCCTGGTGCAGAAGACGCTGTATCACGTGGAGGTGCGCGGTTACAACACGGGCGGTGTGGGGCCCCCGAGCCCCGTCGCGAGCGTTCACACGAATAAGAACGGTAAAGAGCCCCAGCCACCACGTGCACACTCCGGGCCCAGCGTTACTCGCCCCGCGACGTGGTGCTTAGCACGCACGCGCACAGCGGTGTAACCGCCAGTTTGGAACAAACATCGGAATGCTGAAAAATTACCTGCCAACGACACCATTGGGATCACGCATCGGCACAGCAGCAACATCGCTCTCAACTGTAAAAAAACTTGGCAGGACCCTCTTGAGCGAAGAGCCCTTGAGACTCGATAAGGCCCTCCTGGGTGCACGAGCATAGTAGTAGTGGTCATGAAATAAGGGCTGAATTCACATCTTGGACAAATCGCCAAAACTCTTCACCTTGGTGCGATAATCCATACTGTTGGTAGTTGCCAAAAGTCACACCAAAGTTACATTTACTAAGACACGATGTGGCCTTCATTTGGTCAGTATTGGAATAAAATTAAGCCTTTTATCAATCAACTGCAAGATGAAGGCATCACCTTGACCATACTTCACCAGGCTGGCGAGTGCCGGATTGGTAAAAGGAATGCCCGGAACTTGTTCAGATATTCACTCACCGCTAAAGTTCGCCATGACCGGGTATTGAGCACAGCTCACGGTGTTCATAGCACAGTGCGTGAACCACTGCATCACCACTCCCCTCCGATGGAAACACTGGGATCACATTTGGGATGGAGCTCCTGGCACAAACCTGACTGTGGCAAATCTCTCCGCTTGTCCATGACAGCCTCTCGCCTCCCACTGAGGACAATCGGTCACCGGACTCTTGAGATGTCGCGCTAGGCGAAGCCCAATTCTAAGGTTCACGTTGTTGAGTGTTGCTTTGTGGAAACTTCCAAGTGTATTGTTATACAATACAGTGAGGGAAAAAAAGTACTTGATCCCCTGCTGATTTTGTACGTTTGCCCACTGACAAAGAAATGATCAGTCTATAATTTTAATGGTAGGTTTATTTGAACAGTGAGAGACAGAATAACAGCAACAAAATCCAGAAAAACGCATGTCAAAAATGTTATAAATTGATTTGCATTTTACTGAGGGAAATAAGTATTTGACCCCTCTGCAAAACATGACTTAGTACTTGGTGGCAAAACCCTTGTTGGCAATCACAGAGGTCAGACGTTTCTTGTAGTTGGCCACCAGGTTTGCACACATCTTAGGAGGGATTTTGTCCCACTCCTCTTTGCAGATCTTCTCCAAGTCATTAAGGTTTCGAGGCTGACGTTTGGCAACTCGAAACTTCAGCTCCCTCCACAGATTTTCTATGTGATTAAGGTCTGGAGACTGGCTAGGCCACTCCAGGACCTTCATGTGCTTCTTCTTGAGCCACTCCTTTGTTGCCTTGGCCGTGTGTTTTGGGTCATTGTCATGCTGGAATACCCATCCACGACCCATTTTCAATGCCCTGGCTAAGGTAAGGAGGTTCTCACCCAAGATTTGACGGTACATGGCCCCGTCCATCGTCCCTTTGATGCGGTGAAGTTGTCCTGTCCCCTTAGCAGAAAAACACCCCCAAAGCATAATGGTTTCACCTCCATGTTTGACGGTGGGAATGGTGTTCTTGGGGTCATAGGCAGCATTCCTCCTCCTCCAAACACGGCGAGTTGAGTTAATGCCAAAGAGCTCCATTTTGGTCTCATCTGACCACAACACTTTCACCCAGTTGTCCTCTGAATCATTCAGATGTTCATTGGCAAACTTCAGACGGGCATGTATATCTGCTTTCTTGAGCAGGGGGACCTTTGCGGGCGCTGCAGGATTTCAGTCCTTCACGGCGTAGTGTGTTACCAATTGTTTTCTTGGTGACTATGGTCCCAGCTGCCTTGAGATCATTGACAAGATCTTCCCGTGTTGTTCTGGGCTGATTCCTCTCCGTTCTCATGATCATTGCAACTCCACGAGGTGAGATCTGGCATGGAGCCCCAGGCCGAGGGAGATTGACAGTTCTTTTGTGTTTCTTCCATTTGCGAATAATCGCACCAACTGTTGTCACCTTCTCATCAAGCTGCTTAGCAATGGTCTTGTAGCCCATTCCAGCCTTGTGTAGGTCTACAATCTTGTCCCTGACATCCTTGGAGAGCTCTTTGGTCTTGGCCATGGTGGAGAGTTTGGAATCTGATTGATTGATTGCTTCTGTGGACAGGTGTCTTTTATACAGGTAACAAACTGAGATTAGGAGCACTCCCTTTAAGAGTGTGCTGCTAATCTCAGCTTGTTACCTGTTTAAAAGACACTGGTGGCCAACTACAAGAAACGTCTGACCTCTGTGATTGCCAACAAGAGTTTTGCCACCAAGTACTAAGTCATGTTTTGCAGAGGGGTCAAAGACTTATTTCCCTCATTAAAATGCAAATCAATTTATAACATTTTTGACATGCGTTCTGGATTTTTTTGTTGTTGTTATTCTGTCTCTCACTGTTCAAATAAACCTACCATTAAAATTATAGACTGATCATTTCTTTGTCAGTGGACAAACGTACAAAATCAGCAGGGGATCAAATACTTGTTGCCCTCACCGTAGATGTGGGATGCGACCACTAATGACTGTACTTATAATGCTCTGCTCCAGTTTGGGACGATAGATTGGAAGTGAAATCCCCGTTGGGTGTCATGTTTTGTGAGAAACAATGAGTCCTTTTCCTCTCCAGAATTGAGTCCCCACCACAGGAATATGTCAGTCCCACCACTGCATGAATTCCTTCGCATGTTGAAGCGTGAAGGCGGCTTTCACCGCAGCGAGACAGAGTGGGGCCTTGACCAATCACGTCTCGTTGTTTTTTTGTCCGCAGCTTCAAGCCAGATCCCTGAGGTCAGATACACGTTGAAGGATGACATCGTGACCATTGTCTGGAACCCGATCCACCCTCTAGACGAGTCAGCGGTCATCAAGTACCAGGCACGTCCCACGCACACACATAACACCTTGAGAGTATTCATAGTGGGGTCATGGAGCGGACATCAGTCTGTATTAGATATTCTGTTTGTCCATGCATTGATGACGGCCATCCAAGGAGCTTGTGACCGAAATACTAATGACTCAACACGAGTCACTGGGACAACACGAGTCTCTGGGACAACACGAGTCACTAGGACAACACGAGTCACTGGGACAACACGAGTCACTAGGACAACACGAGTCACTGGCTCCACGTTTTTGTGGCAACAAAATCCATCTCGGGTTTTTCTAGTCTCAGGTGGTAATGCATGGGACTGGATTCATATTAGAGACAGAAATGCGTTGCTTCAGCGTCATTGGCACATTCATTCTCACACAGAGACTCATAGGCAGACCCGTATACTGACACAGCTACCCATAGACTCACATAGCCATAGACTTGCTTACATAGAGGCCCATAGAATTTTTTATCATCAGAGCTTGCTCCACCATACGGGCGCAACGCAGCTTCGCTGGAGAAATGCTTTGCTGGAGTCCAGCACTGGTGCATCATCAACATCATCAACATCATTAACATCATCAACATAATCAATAACATCAACATCCTCAACATCATCATCTCATGATCAACATCATCAACATCATCATCATTAACATAATCATTACCATCATCAACATCATCAATAACATCAACATCATCATCCTATGATCAACATCATCATCATCATTAACATTGCCGCGCGCGTTTCTCCCCGTTGGCTGCAGGTGCGGTACCACCTCAAGGATCGCCCCAAGGGCAAGGTGTACAAGGTGAACACCACCGAGACGATGCTGAAAGTGCGGCTGTTCGCGAAGGACGACTACCTGGTGTCGGTGCAGGCTCTCAGCGCCTCCGGGGAGGGACCCTGCACCGAGCTTCACATCCACCGTAAGAGGCTCCGTTCGGGCCGCCCCCTCCACCCGGCCAGCTTGTTCGCACGCGGCGCCCGTACTGCTTGACAAAGACGAAGGTCCGCTGGTGCAGCCCCCCGATAGATCGTCGGCGCAGTTGCCGTTAGCGGGCACCTGTGAAGGCCGGTACGGCACGCGAGGGGATGCGTGGCGAGTACCGCGTCGGGCCGCCTCTGCCTCCCAGGACTCGTTCAGATAATTGTCACGGTGGCCATGAGCGGAAATCGAACCCGGGTCGCCATGTTTGTAGCTCGGTGCGTTAACCGCTACACGTGACCACTGCCAGCAAAGTGTCGCCTTTCAGAAAGGCCAGTCATTGTCTACTGCGTCGAGCCGTAAACTCTGAGATGGCCACCCACGGTACATACAATACACGCGCAAAGTTTTAGCGTGAACTAATGGGTCTTGTTTGCGCTACATGAAACACGAACTGCACCATTCAGATTTTGACCAACTACACCGCCGGTCAATTTACCCTGAACGATTTGTGTGGGGAGAGAGGCCAGCTGCCTTTCTGGTCTGGGCCAGATCAGATCCGAGGCTCGTCTTAGTCTGCTCTGCAGCTCGCATGCGGCGTTCCGTGCTTTTGTGAGTCTCCTTCCTCTGTGCTCCGGTTGCTTTGACGCTGCAGCTGTTGTACCTCCGCTACTGTGCCCTGTCGCTGTGATGTACCGTACTCTCAGAACCAGACAACAACCTTGCGGACGAGGAGGCAGTGGCTACGGGTCAGATGGAAGGTCAGTCCAAGTCAAGTGGGCCGACACTTTGAGAGGAGCTCTGTATACTTTGTTAATGCCCATTCTAATGTCTCTACCTCTGGGCCAACATACACTATAAATCTGGTCCAATCACACCAAACAATTTGTGATCTTTTTAGTTGTTTATTGACATTATCATGGGACCTCCTTTGCCAGTGCTCTGGTCTAACACCGTGTTGAGACGATGCTCAAAAGAAAGCTGTCTCTGGTGTGGACCAATCAGTTTCAAAGGCAATGCATATACTATCAGAGTATGTTGTTTTTTGCATTCTGACCACAAGTATTGTGGTTAATGCAGACATGATTCCTTGTAAAAGGTTTAAGTTTGATGTTTTAACATCTTAACACCTGTTTGTTGCCAGAAAAAAGGGGAAAACCTATTCTCTTATTGACGTAAATTTTAAGTTGTTTTTATTTACAGTTGCGTTTTTAATAAACTACAACGATGCCATCCATCAGAGGAGCAATACGAGCTATGAGTTGCATTGCATGACACATACTTTCTTAGTTTAATCCAAGGCAGCATTTCAGCGTGAGAGTTACACAGTATGATCACAACTATAGCTTGTAAACTCTCCAGAAAACTCAGCCACAGCTCCCATAGCGATCGCCTCTCCTGCATCACGGCCCCCGCAGTAGCTTGGAGACTATCGGTAGTTGAGCCACTGATGCGCCATCGATTGGGTCATGCTCGGGCAATATGGGAGAAATCTGAACGTTAATGGGGTCGATTGATCTGCCTTGTAGGTACTGCTAATGGGACAGGAGCGGTACCTCCAGGAAGGTTGGCTCTGCGCCCCCGTAAAGTTGCATCACAGGATCATGACAAGATGGTCATGGCTTAGGGAGGACATTATCCAGCAGTGGACTGATAATGGGTGATGGTGATAATGAAACAAAACAAATCTCCAATAATTTAGAAATTGCACTGTTATTATTTATTTATAAATGTGAAAACACCTTATTTATTTCATGTTTTTAATTTATACATAGCTTATGTTATTAATGCCACAGATCTCTCAGTGTCCCGACTTAATTGGGTCTTGGTCAAGTTGGAGAAATCAAATCCACACCCCCGATTAGCACGGTTAGCTACGTATGGTGCTTACAAATGCTATTCGATTTTATGAATCTAATTTTATATTAAAATGTCGAGCACAGACGATAATATTAAATGGTAAACATCTCAAATGTACATTTCATATTCACATCAATTCTGTTAACAGTGCCAGACCTGAAAATACAAAACCTATAAGTGTTAATTCTAGAAATCACGCTTTAAAATGTGAACCATGGAAATAAATGTGAAATCTGAAATTGTATCTAAAATACTCATGCCTTATTAATAGGCCATACTTTTCCAACATGTATACAGAGCCCTCTCAAAAAAAATACCACTTATCATATTGTGAAACTAACATACCTTGGGAAAATCCATCCACTAACATTTGCAACCAGGGATGTTAATGGCTTGCCTCATAGACCATCCATCTTCACAATTAACTCACTTCCCAGTTGAATGACGACTAACATCCCACGCAGCTGGTGTCGAGATAGCCTGGAAGTCGACGTCCCGAACGACGACGCCATCGTTTCGATTCCCGCAGTGACCTCTGTGGGGGAAATTGCCAAACGCAAGGACATTTAAGAGCACGTCACGTCTTCTTTTCAGATTAAATATATATTTTACTCTCACCAAAATTACAAAATCTGAATTACAAAACCTCTCCTGCTGTGCCTGGCCTAATGAGCCCATCACCTCGGCGGAGCTTCTTGCCCTGTGCTGGGGACCGGCAGCGCTCCCGCGTGCTCCTCTTCACCGACTGCTCGCTGCCCGACGTTGCCGCCCCCACCCTCGACGCGTGCGCCCAGCAGGGCAGCAGGGCTGTGACGATGCGTCGATTCACCGCTCAATCTTGAGTCTCCAAACTGTTGTGCCTTAGAACCGAACGTGGTTGATTCGTACACGTTGAGGCCGCCTATAATTTTTCACCGCGGATTTTTTTCTTCTTAAATCAAACCTTGACCGTGGATGGCGACGATTCATGGAATCTGTTGTCTTCGAAGCGTCATTACACGCCTAGAGAACAACCCCAAAACTCGTCGACAACTCGACACCGCTGTCGGCACCATCTGCATCCCTCTCCTCACCGCGTAATGCATCTCCCAGCCGCCGAGGGCTCAAAGTGTGGAACTTGAGTGCAATGCATGGCGTGTTCACCCTCCCTGCTCTTTGTGCACGTATCCATCGCCCATCTCAGCTGCCCCTGCATGTTGCCTACCCCGGGTGCTCGCTCGCTCGCTCGCTCTTTCACGCTACAACAGAGATGATTACACAATATTGTGCCTCTCATTAAAATGTTTTCTCCATGTGCAATACGTTGCATGGTTCATTTAACACTCGATAAACAATATTCGGTTATTACTGAATCACTATGACCGTGCCCAATTCTCGTTAGACATCAGAAGCTAAGCGGGATACAAGCTGGATCTTGTTTGGATGGGTGACCGCCTCGCTCGTGAAGAGCGGCAGAGAGCAGTACAGCAGCAGTATCAATTGTACTGTAGCGTTTGTGCTGCCACGCCTATGTCCCCTTGATATCGCTGTCCCGCTCTGACCAGCGTGGTGAAGTATGGTCAAATGAGACCCATTTGTCCACACACCGTGAGGAGGCCCTCATCCAGCAGTAGATTGTCAGAACTGTGCATGTTCAAAAAATAATTGCAATGGATTGGCTGCTCACCACTCTCTTGCTCCCATAGACGAATTCTAAGCAACATGCGCCTTGTGTCTGATTGGTTTAGACAATGTGTGACTGCAGCAGCAGTCGCCGTTGTTATTCTGTTGAGTCTGATGGGCAACTCCAAAAAGCAATCTCCGCCTCCTCTTTGAGCTCATTGGCAATGAATGTAAGCACAGGTTTACAAACACATCCCAGACGCTGGCCTACGTTTGCTGCACATTGGCTTGTTAAACATTTTATCCACGCCACAAAATACGTCCATTCTGCTTGCTCCGTGCATTTTCATGCCTTGAATGGGTTCCATGGATGATCCCCGTCACGTGAACCGAATACAAGTTGCGTTGTGTGTCTTTGAGAATGTACGTGTGGTGCCGCGACCGTGGAGCAACTCTGCAAACGCCGCGATCCCCTCCCGGCCCCCACCCTGAGCACACGCAGCACTCACACCCACGTAGTGTCCTAGCGTGGGGTTGCCTGGCACATCGGGTTTTAATCCGAAGGGCCCCTAGAGGGAGAGTCCCACGGTTTCCCGGTGCCAGGAGATTGGCCGATCCCCCACAGGACAGGGGACATTGCGGTGCCCCCTAAATTGGCTTCAAATTGTTGTGGGCGCAGAAGGGAAAAGTTCACTGGGCCAACCGCAATAAGTTATTCACGACATTGGGGGAGAGGCTGAGGGTGGAATATTAGGCAAGAAGAGCAGAGCAGTAGACTAGAACTACTGGGCACGGGAGAACAATGGGTGAGCAGCAGCACACTCCGTGACACTCCACGTAGGGGGCGCAGGTAAGCGCGCGATTGGCTGCGCGGTGTGACGTCACCCTGGGCCTTTGAAGTTTAGAGAATAAAAAAGGGGGGCCCCGGATGGTCTTCGGTCTCTTGCCTTCAACCTCCGGGCCGTCGAAAACACACACCCCCAGTCGCCCTGCCTCTTCAAGCCGCTCACAGCAGCCATGCAATGCCAGCGAGTTGTGCTTCGAGGCACGTGGTAGGACGTTTGTGTAACTGGGTTCATAGGCAGAGTTAGGCTCGGCTCTTCTCGCGAAATATTCCCCCTCCGGGCAGGGTGTATTTACGCCATTAATAAACTTCAGTTCAGAGAGAAAAAAAAAGACCGTTTCTTTTGATTAGCGCCGGCCTTTGTGCAAAACACGCGCCGGCAGGGGCGCGCGCGTGCACGCCACCTCGTTCGTTTTTCGTGGTGGTGGGCGTGGACGTGTCGGAGATAACCCCGGGCGGTGGTGAGCCAGCCAAGTAGCGATGTCACTCAGAGAGGGCGCTGGCGCTGGCGCAGGGGGGGGGGGGGGGGTGGCTGATCACCCGATCGGCGGGGGCCCGGCGAGAGGCGGCCGACTAGGAGGAGGAGGGGGGAGTGGAGGAGGTGGACGTCGCGCCCCACCCGCTCGCGGGGAGCGGGAAGGCGGGCGTCAGCCCCCCGCATTCGCTCGTATGCCCGTCCCTATATCTGTTCTGGTGGCGGCATGATTGCAGAAGTGAATCAACATGATGGGCTTAGCTCGTCGATTTATTTTTTGCAGCCAATGTAATGATTCACAATGGGTTTTTGGGTAAGGCCACGTCCTATTATGATCAAAATTATTTGTAGATCACCACCATCCGACAGCCAAACGAGTCGTCAAGTGTTGAGGCATTTGACGCGCTGGTTATTCTTGTTTCAGCTCATCCAGTGAGTTGAAGAACAATCCTCACAGCCAGATGTATCAGTTGAGACGAATAGTTGTGAGGATTGTGGGACCCTTCCATTCATAGCATGTCTGTCCCCGATAATTGCACATTCGCATACATATGCACGTGTAGATGTGTACGCCAGATGGATCGGAGCCTGATTGGTTGGCTCTGTGGGTGGGGAGCGCATCATGGTCAGGACGCTGTGACAGAATCCCCACACTCGACCCGTCAACTATGAGTGGCTGCTGTTCGTGGAGCAGACTTTGCTGTCCACCCATTCCATTGGCCCAGGAGAGTAATCTGACCAGCTCATTAATAGCAACAAAAAAACAAATCAAAGTAGGGAAGGAACTTTATTTAGTTGGAAAATCCACCGGTCATAACTTGAAGCTTGGGATGGAATATTGTGCTCCCCTTCATGACTTGGCATACAAAGTTGAACACCGTGTTATAGTGCAAATGTGATAGCCTTCTTTTACCCAGGCGATGAAATCCCGTCAGCCCATTGACACAATTATTATTTTATAAAGCGAAAAGGAAACCACTGTACATTAAAAAACTACACTCAGCAGTATCGAATCGAAATCAAATCGACACAGTAAAAAACACACGCAAAGTTGACAACGACTGCGACATTCGCACGGAAAATGAAATGGAGAACAAACTACGATCAAAGCCAATAATGTCACTCACGGTGTAGGTAACATCCAGTCAAACTACAGAACAATGAACAAGGCTAGGTTTTCCAGCTGGACTTAAAAGCCCCGAATTCCACATTGTTGGTGCATCGCCTCTCTTGCCAGGGTCACTCTGACGCCGGTGTTGGATTTGCGGCAGCGACAGCGTTCGTTTGTTTAACTCGGCTAAAAGATCATCACCATGAGATCACACGTGGTTAAATGAAGTGCTTTGAATTGATTGGTTGCAAATGTGTTTAAGTCGTGCAGCTGCTCAGATGTGCAGCAAATGTAATTGAAATGAACTTCATTGGCAGTGGATTTCCATGGCCAAAATACCCTGGGCTCTCTGCTACAACGTGTGATCGATACTTGCAGGCTGGAGTGTGATTCTGCTGCTGTCAGGTTCCTCTGTGGAATGACTCCCATGAGTCCGATTTAAATGTCTAAGCTCCTTTTAATCAACCTGCATTCAAACTATTGTAAACGCATCGGTAGCTTGAAGCATTTGTAAGATGTGTGGCGGCATCTGGAACACACGCCATAGCCAGGTGCTCACTTGATAGGCACGGTGACGTTTTGTGCAGCCAATAAACACACCTTCAGAATGTGGAATTGTAATGATAGGGTTTTTCCCCTTTTTTCTGGCAACAAAACTGAAACCTTTTTACAAGGATTCATGTCTGCATTAACCACAATACCTGCAGTCAAAATGCAAACAAAAAAACACACTATGATAATATATGCATTGTCCTTGAAACTGAGTTTAAACAAACTGAGTTGAAACTGAGTTTAAACTGAGTTTAAACTGAGTTTCAAGGACAATGCATATATTATCATAGTATGTTTTTTGTTTGCATTTTGACTGCAGGTATTGTGGTTAATGCAGACACGAATCCTTGTAAAAAGGTTTCAGTTTTGTTGCCAGAAAAAGGGGAAAAACCCTATTATTATATTTTGGTACTGGCAAAGGAGGTCTAATGATGTAAATGTGGCATTGCTTTGCGAGGCCCCTTTACACACTTCGACGGGGCTATTTGGGCCAATTCAACAGCTAGGAAAAAATACACGAGGTCAATACGAAATGGTTATCGAGGATGTGTGCACAAAACGCTGTCTTCAACTGCAAAGCGCAACAGGAATCTGGCCGTGATGTTTTGCAAGTCGAGACGACGTCTCGTTCTTGCGGATACGTGGCACACATCAGTTCGCGGTGACTGCAATACCTAAAGAGCTAAAATGGCGCCACTATTAGTTAGGGGGTTTGGGGGGTCTCGTGTGGTGTTGTGTTCACCCCGCCCGGTTGAACACAACACGGGTCCACCCATCCTCCATGGCGACGCGCTTAGGCCGTCTATGAATTTGTCCAGATTTAATCGACTTAACTTTGACATTAACGAAAAATGATGTATTCACCAGAATCGATTCAAGCAAGCCTGGCCCTGCTTATGAGGCATTGTATGTATAGGGTGCCGCGATGTCGGGATGTTAACTACCTCGCCTGATGTACAGGAGGTCGTGGGTTCGATGCTCCCCCTGACATCTGTATATTTGGAGTTTGCATGTTCTCCCCGTGGTCCTGTGTTTTTTTTCTCTGGGTCCTCCACATTAAGCACCACGCGTTTTAGAGTTTTTGGCCGCTATAAATGTCCACGCGATAAGCCACTTCGTTAATCTATCGTTTGTGGCCAGGTCGCTTCTAAAAAAGAAAAGAGCTATATAGCTGGTAACATACAAATAGTAGATCGAAACGGGTGCAGAGTTTGCTTGTATTGAATACATGCTGATGAAATTGTGCACTCCCACAAGACCGTGTCGCTGATGGGTTGTGTAATAAATACTCTTATGTTTACGTGAACCGACAGAGGTATCAAGGAGACAATGTCTTCTTATATAGTATTTTACATTCTCCAAAATTACTCGAAGGATTGTTTGAGCTGATTGTTTTACGATCGATCGGGCGGGCGGGCGGGCGGGCTCCTTTAAAATTGGTGGCTGCTCAAGAATTGTTTTTCCTCCCTGAGAGGGAGAAGTGTCAGAGCCGGGCCCCTGGGGCTCCCCGTCCCCTTCTGGGAGAGTCCAGGAGGAGACAGTTCCAGCTGTGAGCAGTAACTGATCTAGCGCTAGTGTGAGTTTCTTGTTGCCATCGATTTTGTTCCTTCAACTATGGGCCGCGTCTGTTCATCTTTGACCTCAATTACGTTGGGAACGATTAATAGACGTCGCTGCAGTAATGGTGCATTAGTTGGGCTTATTATTATAATTGGGCTGGAGCTGTGGTGCACAGAGGTGCATAGGATGCACTGTGATGAACACAGTGACCCGAGTTCAACTCCTGGCCACGGCTAACAGCAGTGAACTCTGAACTGGTTCTGAGCCACCTCCTTCAGTTTCAAACACACACACACACGTGTGTTGTTTAGAGTGCTCTTTGTTGCTGACCGCTTAACGTGTTGGGCCTTGTGCTCCACGAGGTGGTTGAATTTTAAAAAATCGGCCACGGAAATGGTTAGACGTCATTCTGGGGTGTTGTAGAAGTGGCTTCATCCTCGCACGCAGCAGGGACACAACAGCACGCACACTCGACTCTGTCTGGGACCGTCTACTTGCCACGCTAGACGCCCGGTTCCACCACGGGCCGTTGCCTGGATTCAAGGCCAGGATTCTCAGCGGCACCAATCCAGCACTGAGCTCTACGCAACCCAGCAATCTCAACATTGGTATTTATGAGTGGAGTAATTTCACCGACGTATATTTGGGACTCGGCTGATCGGAACCAATGTAAGGCAAAGAGGTAAGCTGGGGTTTTTTTTGCCTCTGCATGTGGACATTTGAATAGCGAGCATAGATAATGCGTTCATCGTAAAGGGCGAGACCACGTTGAATGTAACGTATGCATAGCGGTGACTACCGTCGTGGAAAATGTGCCCTGACCTGGCTAATTGTGCCATTGCATGGTTCTACCTTTTCAGGGAGTGGGATCGGGGGAGGGGCGAGCGATGGACGCGCCGTCTGGACTACGCTGTGGCTGTGCGGCCTGATGCAGGTGCTGTGCACCTGGAGCGGAGGAGGCCTCTAAGCAGCTCCACCCAGGAGGCCGCGGCACACAAAAGGAGCCACATCCACCAGCACCCCCCTATCACAACGTCCACCGCGCTCAATGGACTCTTAACCCACATTAAAAGCACTCATTGCCATAGGCGGTTCTAAATGAAGTATACAGTGTGTACGATTCATTGATAATTGTGTAATGTTTTGAGTTTGCTGATATTTTGTATATTAGTCCCATTTCAAATGTTTAATTTGCCAGTGCCGCCGAAGATGGCAAACCTTAGTTGTGCTTTTTGAAAAGGTCTGTGCCACAGGCGATGATATTTGGATGTGAAATCTACCGGGAGGGCATCGCGTGTGGTGAACCCACTTTGGCCAGTGGAGTCAATCCGACTGGAGCGGTTCGAACTTGCGCGTCGACTCGCGGACATTAAAGGCCACTGGGGGTTTACAAGCGCTTGCATCGGCGTGACATCGGAGTGAGCGCACCAAGTCAGCTGGCTGGGTCGGCGTAGGGTTTCGGTGCTCGCCGCCCGCAGGGTGACGATGGGGACGCAGTGCACGCTGGGTGACGATGGGGACGCAGTGCACGCTGGGTGACGATGAGGACGCAGTGCACGCTGGGTGACGATGAGGACGCAGTGCACGCTGGGTGACGATGGGGACGCAGTGCACGCTGGGTGACGATGAGGACGCAGTGCACGCTGGGTGACGATGACGCAGTGCACGCTGGGTGACGATGAGGACGCAGTGCACGCTGGGTGACGATGGGGACGCAGTGCACGCTCGGTGACGATGGGGACGCAGTGCTCGCTGGGTGACGATGGGGACGCAGTGCACGCTGGGTGACGATGGGGACGCAGTGCACGCTGGGTGACGATGGGGACGCAGTGCACGCTGGGTTACGATGGGGACGCAGTGCACGCTGGGTGACGATGGGGACGCAGTGCTCGCTGGGTGACGATGGGGACGCAGTGCTCGCTGGGTGACGCCGCGGGGGACTTTTGTGACGCCTGGGACGTCACTTGAAGTGCAGGTGAATGTGTTCTAAGTGAGATAGCGCATGTTTTAAGTTTCAATTATATCCAACAATTATAATATACATAACTTAACCTTTTTGTATCTCCACATGACATTTGTTTAGCCGATTGGACCGTCGGTCTTCAGGACATGAAACAGCATGGTTTGAACATATACACGACCAGCCTGGACGAGTGGGCTCTTGGTGGAGCATCACATTGGCAGCTCTGGGTTGCGATATCCCTGTCTCGGTGTTCATCTGGGCAACCCACAACCTGGTCGTGTACGCCTCCTCCCCGGAACGGTCACGTTCAGTTTTGAAGCTGGCTGCTCCAATTGGAGTCGCTCGCTTTCGGGGCTAACGAGTGCAAACCTGCCCCGCTATTGAACCCATAACTCGGTCGTCATTGCCAATGCTCTCCCTAGGGGGGGGGGGGCTAAGGGGGAGGGGGCTGTCCTGCTCCGAGAGTGTCTCTCTCTCTGCAGGCTGAGGCCGTCTGCTCGTGGAGGGCGGCGGAGGCCACCACAGTTGACGACTCGCGGGGAGGCCAAGAGGCTGCCCGGTGCTAGCGGGACACCGCTGGCTCACACGGCCTCGTTTACACGTCAGTGCCATTTGCTTGGTGTCGAAGTCTGCAAGCAAGAAAGAGGGCCATTGTGACGACAACATTTTGGACGCATTGCATCACACGGATAATCCAGCGCCGTGCGAGTATTGGGACCTTTCACATTCTCCCAGGTCTTTGCGTGTTAAGGTTGCCTACCACCGTATTCAAGGGCAATGGCCATGCCGCTATACATTGTCCTCACTTCTGCCGGGTAATGCAGCTGTAGAGCGGATACCCTGCCTTCACGGATCCCCTATAACAGTGTCAACGTGTAGCTTTAGAACGTGCCCTTTGTGGTTGGCCTCTGGGTGGCCACTGCATTCAATGAATAATTATTTGACATTGAAATGAAAGCGTCACGTTGGTGGCAATGTTGATATTTGCTCCGTCCTTTGTGCCACTGCTTCGGTGTCATTCATTGCCGCTCTTCGCCTTCGCACCGTCTCGCTCGCCCCCTTCGCTACCTTTTCCCCTCCAGTGAAGAAGTGCTGCCCTCTAGTGCACACTTTGGCTTCCGTCACCTGAAATTGCGGTTGAGCACCGTGTCCTGAATTCACGAAGACTTTGATACTCGCAGTGCCATCTCTGCTAGCCTCGTGCACCCAACACGAGTCCGTATACGGAGCCCCAAACATTCCATTGGGGCTCCCATAACACTGTGTAACACGATGTTTGTTCCTGGGTAGTAAGTGTTATTTTTCAATTGCTTATGCCTCAAAAGTACAGAAAATGGTTATTATTCCCTACAAACTTTTATTTTGTGACCAGGACTTTACGTGAAGGAATCACACAAATGCACACCACGTTTTCTCATTGAAAAGAGGTACATTTAAAAATATCACTCCTGGTTACAAAAGCAAAGTTTGTGGAGAATAATAGCCATTTGCTGTACTTTTGAGGCATAAGCAATTGGAAAATAACACTACCCAGGAACAAAAAAACAATTTGTTACACATCGTTATCCTCAATTCTGCCACCTCTCATTGTCTTCGCGTCTCTGTTGCTCCGTGTCTGTTTCACTTTGTTGCTGCCTCCATGTCTCTCTCAACATCTCCTTCTCCACGAGTCTGCCTCTCTGTTTCAAAACGTCTGTCTGTTTATGTGTCTCTCCACGTGCCTCTCGTGTTTGTCTCCAGTCTCTCGATGTGAACGGTCCTCTTACCCCAACCCCAGTCTGCATATGGCCCCTCCTAGTGGCGAGGTGGCTCTTACCGCTGAATTTGTTTTTGCATGGTTTCATCCTCATGAGTTATTCAGCCCCGAGGAACTTCAAACAAAAGTCATTGCGTGTAGTTGAGCAGAGCGGTGCTTACATAGACGCCGGCTTCACACGAATCAATATCCATTACCGAACTTGGCGTTGGTCACGTGTAAATAGATTTTTTTAAGATTAAAGGTTTTAACAAAAGGGTACGCTACTTAGCTGGTACTGCTTATCTACAACAACAACAAACAAACTTTTAATTGATGTACAAAACAATTTGATAATACTGTACTTAGCCAATGTGTACATTTCTGGGTGTTGCATGACGTGTTTGTAAACTGGAACGTACACGTGGCATGTGCCATAGCTGGGTGTCATGATGCTTCCCATGCACCGAGACGCGTCCATTCTCAAGGCCTCACAGCACGTGCATTGAATCGTGCAATCGATGTGTGTTGGTGCATTCGAATACTCAATGCAAATCGTACCTGCATCCCACGCACATTTGAGTACAAGGGCGCCAAGCGAACTTGGACGAACGAGACGGGGGAAACGTAATCTGAATACAAAAAAAATCGAGAGGAGAAAATAATAGATTATTTCAATAAATAGTGGCCCTGAATTGTGACGGCTCATGGGTTCAAGGGGGGAGGGCTCGCATCGCTGCAGCCGCTGGTGTCTAGATGGGCGGTACTCATTGGTGGCAGGCGAAGGAATCTGCTAAACTGCACGCATATGTTGTACAAATGCTGGGTGTGTATTACTGTGGTTGGGGTATTGTCGGTTGATGATAATTATTTTACTTGAAAAAGTGTGATATCACGAAAGGTTATTTTACCTTGTTGCTCGGCATAGGTTTCTCATTTAACATCTATTAATCAATGCTCATTCATGCTGGCTAATGTGGAGTGCAGTGTGCATAATAAACAAGCATGTTTATTTTTTTCTTCTAATGGATTTTTATGTGCCTACTTTTTTTTAATACCACAGGAGGTGAACGTTGTTTGAACGTTGTAGAAGGGTCATGAGCTGCCTTTGCGGTGCAACATCTCTCCTGGGATACAGGAGGAGGTCGTGGGTTCGATCCCAACCCTGACGCCTGTTTACAGTATTTGGAGTTTGTATGTTCTCCCCGTTACAGCGTGGATTTTTTCTCAGGATCCTCTGGTTTTTCCCTCCACATTTAGAGACATGCGTTTAGAGTGTTTGGCTGATATAAATTTCCACATACACCGCTTCGTTGAGCGCTCATTTGTGGCCAGGTTGCTTCTGAAAAAATAGATATATAGCTCAATGGGCCTTACCTGCTAAAATAAAACATAGTTTTAAAATAATTTAGTTTTTCAGAGGTAAACCCCCGCAATGGGATAGCTCTGTAGAAGGCAGTTCCTTTCATTTTATATAATGCTCGCCAAGTTGTGTAGATATCCAGCACAGTGCGTTGCAGAATACATTGTTTAACAAATGTATTATTATTTTTGTTCCTGGGTACTAAGTGTCATTTCCTAATTGCTTATGCCTGAAAAGTACAGCAAATGGCTATTATTCCACAGAAACTTTGGTTTTGTGACCAGGACAGTGATATTTTGAAATGTACCTATTTTCAATGAGAAAACGTGGTGTGCCTTCGTGTCATTCCTTCACATACAGTACTGGCCACAAAAGCAAAGTTTGTGGGGAATAATAACCATTTTCTATACTTTTTAGGCATAAGCAGTTAAAAAATAACAATTACTACCCGGGGACAAAAATCGTGTTACATAGTGTTACACAGTGTTACAGTGTAACATAGTGTTATAGGAGGAATCCACTTCCGGAACGGATCCCAAAATCTGCAGCGCAAAATTTCAGATTTTAAGGTTCACCACCCCCAGCGGACGACGAAAGGAGCCGCGAATTATAGGATGCATGGATTATTGCAGTTCTGCTGTAAATCGTTAGAGGGGAAAATGAAAAAAAAGTCAAAGAATGCGTCATGCGAATGATGAAATGTCATGGGAAGCAATGGAAATATGAGCACAAACGGGCATAGAAAATGGGACATGGAGCTGAAATGTTCCCAGAAATAGACCGTAGAGATTGGCCATGGAAATTTCACTGAGACAAAATGCGTAGCAACACGTGCTTTATTGATCGATTTCTAATTAGAGATATCATCAAACACGTACTGCTGATAAAAAAGAATGGGCGAGACACAACGCCAGAAAGGTTCATAGCCACTGAACGAGACGGGTAATGGAGAAAATAAGCCTGAAAGTCTGACCACCGCATCGATGGAGTGACCAGAGCAGGCCACGTGCAGAGGTGACATGGATGGTTGGAGCGAGGCCTTCATCCAGCATGGCTAATTCTGATCACTTACAAACACAAAGATCACCCGTATAGCCTTAACAGACTGAGCACATACACACACACGTAATAGACGTATGCAAACATGTTGGAATTCTTTCGCACCGCAAGCAACCAAACATGCTAATCGGAGGTGCGTCACGTGATGGACACGAGGGTTGGCAGGTCGTGAAGGTATGAGGCGGTACTGGTTGGGCTTCCTCGTTTGTGGGCTGGTGGATCCTTCGTCATATGCATCAATTGGGCTGTCATCAGCCCCATCTCACATCATCATCATCGCCATCGTTGTTTCGAGGTCGTGCGCAGTCGCCTTTGGTTTGCGCTACAATTCCACACGCGCAATGATTTACGGGATTCATTTGAGATTGAGAATGTGTACGTGCCAGGGGCCATTGGACAAACGTCCGCCATGAAGTAACAGGTCCCTGCAGGGTGGGCTGGTAGGACAAGTCTCTGCGCTGTCTATTGCTGATTTTACACCCAACAGCACGAGATTTCACTTTAATTGAAAGGGGACGGACGGACGGATACATTAATCTATTGCAGGCCGGTACACTCAGTTTACAACTTCGTTCCTGCCGGTATTAGTGTTCCTTGTCCAAGGCCGCAGTGTTGAGTGCTG